AGTTGGCGAGTTTACTAAATGCATGAAAATACACCGTTTTCACCCAGAGAAGAATGGTGCACCAGCCGTCAACTCCCTGTCCCCACCCTGTCCCACAGGAAGAGTTAGAACAATAGTTGTTCCCACTGTTCCTTCATTCTAGCTACTGCTAACACCTCAGAAATGAAACACTATGGGTTGTTGTGGGGTTTTTTTAATCACTTTTAAATGTGGCTGAATTCAAACTTCATTAGGCATCTCTGACAAAATAAACTAGTTCTAGACATTGGCCTGCTGAATTATCTACTTTTGCCCTTTGTCTGTTTAAAATACAAAACGTTACAAGTCAGCTTCATTATTGACTGTGCTACAACCTTTGGTTGCAAAAAAACTAAAGTCTTCTTAAATACTTACAAAAGGTTCTTGTTTCCCTAATCCCGTATCTATGCTGATTGCCTAGCTGAAAGTGTTCTGTTAGTTTTTTATTTAGAAAACCTACGCTTGGCCCCTACCCTGATTTACCCTTATCCCTCACTTAGTCTCTGATTGCACCCAAAATAGCTTTTATACCCTTCCTTCCTTCCTTCCTGCACTTCACAAGTCTCCTCTGCCAGGCTGCTGAAAGAAACTGGGGAACTCTGTCTGCTTTGCCACATCTCTCCCAGCAGGTGTCAGTGCCCTTCTGTACCTGCCACCAAAACTGCAGGCGGCTTTGTGTCAGGTCCGCTCTTTTAGACATTTCTCTTGATGACGGAGAGCCTGGAAAAAAAGGTTTTCTATCTTTCACTCCGGCAAGAGCAATGTCAGGTCAGCGTTAAGTTGCAGGAGGGGATCTGTCTGAGGGCTATACCCTTTGTCTTTGGGAATTTCTATGCCTGTCTGAAAAAGGCTGAAGTTAAACAAAGTACTCAATAATACAAATACTTCAATCCAATAAATTATCTTCTATTCATTTTGTCCCTCTTGCCTATGCTGAAGGCCACCATTCATTAGCAAAACAGGGAATAGGGAAACATGAGTCACACAGAAACCACAATTTTTAAAGCAAATCAGGACATGGTTCTGCACCCCCATCACACACCAAATCTCACACAACAACTTTCTAGGCTCTTTTTAAAGCTTCTGAGCAGTCAAGGAGTATGAAAAGGGGTGGAGCAATTGTTTCATTTTCGGCTACTCCAACAGCAATTTCAAGAGCACAGGACAAGCCAGGTTAGAAAACACGTGCCTCAGAAAGCAAGGGACCACCATCCTCTTTGCATCTCCTTTCTAGGATGCTGGCCAGAAACCCATGGTCAACCATGATCACAGTGATCAGACGGTACTTTTCCACAGTATTCTGGCTGCAGATTGGTCCACTTTATAGTCTGCTTTCACAACCTCACTCCATTTTACTTCTAAGTAATATGGAAAATATAATCCTGTCATAGATTGTTACAACACTATCCAAAAATCACTTCTGCACTGAAATTTGGCTCTAATTTCCATGTAGAAAGTTCAAAAGGTTGTAGATAATTAATCGTTTTAACAGTTTTAATCGAATCCTTTTAAGTGATTCTGATTGTAAATAATTTTGTTGAATTTTCTCATTTTTGAGAGCTTTGCTGATCTAAATGCTAATTGTCATGGAATTCTGCAAGACACAAATACACTTCTCACAGGTTTTCAAACATCTATTACACTTCTCTATCACTCTAAATGTTTAGCCCTTGAAGACATACCAAAACACAATGTTAAATTGTGTAGCTTCTAAGGACTTCCCTGTTGCATCCTGCCATATGTCAAATGATGTACCTTTTACAATTACTGTACGTAGCAAATCCTAAGAAGTTAACTATTTCCATGTTGTGGAACAATCAGGAGGTATTTTTGTTACACGCTTCTATTTCCTTGCTAGTTTCAAAATACTCATGAGATGCTAAACCCCAGCTTTTTTCCTTCCAAAAGTCAAACTGGACAGGAAATCAGGAATCTCCACATCTGACACAGAATTGCTCCCATTTACAAGTCTTCTACAAGGTTGTGCTTAAGATAACAAGAAAAAACCCACCTTTCTGAAAGGTGCTCAGCAGATGATCTCTGCATTGTCCTTAATCTTAGCTTTCCTCACCTCCCCTCCCTCCTGGCCTCTCCCAAACTCATCTTTAGCATTATCAGGTCTTACGAAACTCTTGATTAATTTCAAAAGGACATAAGAAATACAACTTATTTGTTCAACAAATAAAAGTTATTTCAAACATCCTGTTGGGCCATGTCAACTGAAAATAAAATCCTGCCTGGGGTCAGTTCCGCAACTATTAAAGAATAGTGACACGCTTTGCAGCACCTCAAGATAATTTAGCAAAGGCTGGAGCACCAGGTCACAGTATTTCTAAAGCGGTCTAATATTAAAGTGTTTTACAAATTGGCCATTCAGCAGGCTGGAGGAGATCACAGAACTCAGCTAAGTTGTAAGTAGTGAGACCATAAGAATCCTCCTGCTCTGGACAACCCCAGAAAGAGGAGCAACTTAATGCTACCACCTTTTCACTGCTTAAATGATGGTCAAGCCTAAAAGCAGATTAGATTTCCACCTTAAAAACTGGTTACATGTTGAAGTGTTCATGGACACAAAAAAACAACCACCCCACACCCAAAACTTTCACAGTATCTTAAATCATTTCTGTTTGCCTGTCTCTTCCGTTACTTTCCTCTGAACATCCCACCACACAACCCTCCCACCATTTCATCCTTCTCACTTACATCACCGTAATTACAGCCCTGGCTGATCTCCTTTGTGCTGATCTCAAGATTCTTTCTTTGGTCTTGCCACCTACTCATTTCTGATTCTTCTCAGATAACAGAACCCTAGTCTCCTTCCCAGACCTCCCACCCTCCTTCCCCCTCTTCCTTGCACCATCCGTACGAGTAAGAAAGCTAGTGTTTTCCTGTCTTCAAGAGCTCTTTGCGGCACTCACTGAAAGGCATTCCCCAAACTTATTATCTCCATCCAGTAAAGACTTCAACAGCTCTGCTGTGGGCCTGGTAAGATATTACGCTCGTGGGCATAACAGTCTTTGGATTAGGCTTGTGAAGGGCAACTTAACCCTCAGAAGTTTACTTTGAAGTCTGTCTGGTTCAGGTTCCTAAATCATTCTGTGCATTTACTGCCAGCTAGAGCACATCTGTATGTGCTCTCCAGTGGAAAGCATTCACTCGGCACGCAGCACTGAAGTGAGGCTGCCTACGTGCGCATATATGGAGTCAACAGCACAGTCCTCCTTCAGTGGAAGAAGATACTTGCTGTTCTCATACATTTTTATAAATTGCATGACAGAGAGATGGGTATTACTGATGGTTTCCACACTATTACAAAGCTTAAGGGGAAGGAAGGAATGAAGAAATGAGTGTAAGAGTGAAAGAGAGAAAACCCACAGACTCAGAACATTCATTGTCCTCTATTTCAACTCATCCTCTACTATGGAAAATGGAACAACAAAAAGTAGTTCAGTGTAGGCTAGACAGTCATCCTTAGATATCGAGGCATCCAAGAAACCAAGTATCCATCAGTTTTTAACTGTCACTTGAACCTTAGTTGTATGCCAATCCCAACGGAGTGTTCTGCGTCAATTCAGGTAAAATTATGTGTGTTTTGCTTACTGGTACTGTGTTAACTTCAGTGGGAAACGTACAACAATCGTGGACCTGGGTAACTAAGACAAAATACCAATTATGTAAGCCAAGGTTAAAGAAGCTGCCTTTTTTTTTAAAAAAAAAAGGTATAATACTTTCGGCAACCACTGTAATTAACGACGCTTTACAGTTCTGTTTGTTGTGTAGGCTACAGAACACAAATGCTGCAATCCACATCTAAAATCAGCATGACTCAGGCATATTGCAAAGGGCAAGATTGTCTGCTTGCCTGAAAAACTTATGCTTGGCAGGAACAAAAAAAGAGCACGCATTTTGCCTTTTCACTTTACTTCAGCTTTAAAAAAACCCCATGCAGTCCAAAGTCTTAGACCCAACCAAGTTTAGACTAACCAGCATAATGGCATAAAGATAGAAGACACTTGAACCACACTGACTGACGACTGGCACAGGGAGCAAACTTAACTGGGCTTTCTCTGGCTGCAAGTCCAAGCAGAGCGAGGAGCTAACAGGAGGCTGCTTTGCTGAGCACTCTGAGTGCCAAGAGATTGTGCGGCCAAACAAGGCAGAGAGTGAGAGGACAAAGCCCATTCCTGGGCTTTCTATTATAACACATTGCTGAGTTCAGAAAGTGCTATTTTTTAAACAGCACAGAAGCAACTATTACGTCAAATGAATTCCACTCCTACTAGGCAATGCATCACATAGAGAGGAGCAGGAGGACCAGCCTTTCAGCACCAACACTGAGAAATGAGGATCTCGCTGTGGTACAGTGTGCACTCACGAGCAGACTAGATGGTGTTACTGGATAAGTGTAATCACTGGTCATTCCACCTTCTGTGCAGATGATGTGATATGAAGACAGGAATACGACGCTCGAAATGCAACAAGAAAACCAACTGCACCACCCATGAAATACCACTGTAGCATCGAGGGAAATATTCTTGATATAACTGAATACAGTCTCATTTTCTTTGAAGATGTTTTGTTAGTGTACAGGTGAATGAATTTTTAAAAAGTCTACCCAGCCAGCATCTTGTAGAGGTCAGCACATAAAATGTGCTCTGAAGCCAGCTTCTAACCTGCTCTTATGAGCTATGACAGTCTGCTGGCTGGAAGGGTTTGCACTGCTTAATAAACCCATCTCTGTGCTTCACAGGCAGACTTGCAGCACGTCAGTGAGGTATGGTCAATTTGAAAATATTAAGGTTAAGTAGTGAACACCTAATAGATAGCCGGTATAAAAACCATCAGTAGTCAAAGTAACATTAGCTTTGGGATATGATACTTCTGTAATTTTTTGCTAAATTAATATTATTGCATAAAATTTATAAGAAAGCTTATTTTACAATTCAGTTTTATCATCAGGAAAGCTTTAGAGATGTTCTTACCATGCTTCAGATGTAGGCAGCTGTCATTCTGGGGCCTGTACCTGTAGAAGATTGTTTTCCTTTAACAAATTTTTGTTACAGCTTTTTTGCACATTCCAAATAAGTTTGTTTGCTATAACAGTACATGGATTTTTTTAGTGTATTTTCGGTTTTGTTGTTTGTTTTTTTTTATGGTTCTTATACCAGCCATTTTTGTTGGGGAAACCAGGGTATTTCTTTGTATATATTTTAAGGCAAAGTGGAGACCTCACTGATGCTTTTAGCCAACCTACTAGACAGTTGTTAGTGTACAAAGAAATGTAAAATACAGTGATAAAAAATATGGTGGGTATAAAAAAGGTCAACATAAAGTTTCCAGTGTCCAATAATCCCACACAGTATTTGAGTCCTAGTTACGTCTAAGGATGATACAACATCAATTCAGGAGAAAAGCAAAGGTAAAGAAAGGATAGGCATTGCAGGAATGTGTAAGTTCAGCCAAAGATGTTGATGTAGTCAGGACTGCTGTATGGAGAGGCGTAAGGGAAAGGAGACATACATTTGTGTGCATTTTCACAAGCTTGCATTCAAAGCAAAGTATCTTATAACATCTATCAGAAGCAAGTGTTAGAGAAAAGCATGTAGAAGTTAAATAGTGCAGGCTCTGGTATCTAAAATATACCTGAGGTGAATGGTAAGTAACAGTTGGTCATGGCCTACCTGATGCTGATTCCTGCAACTTTTCTCTCTTCCTCTTCTTTTTCTTCCCCTGAAAAACAGGCAATTTTACCATACCGCTACATGCACAGAACTTTTTTTTGTCACTCCCCCACCTCACAGCATAGGAAGGAAAACCATCTGGACACTGAGAAGGCAGTTGGGAAGAAAAACAATTGGTTTTGGGGTAGCTAAAACCTTTTCTAATCCACTTCCAACTGTTTCAATGGTTACAAGGTTTGGTCTCAGCATCTATGGAGAAATATGCACATAAGCAACACACATTTTTATATCCACATGGAATTACAATTTCTGGCAGTTTTTCAACAAGCACTGGCAGCCGCAAGCATCTAAAAGACTTCTCACGCTTAATAATGTGGTGACACATATGTTGATATCATAATTTATGGTTCTTATAAGAACTCTTCACACATTCAGATACTTTCACTGTCATACATGGCAACAGCAGACAGGGTGTTGAAAGTACCGAGGATGACCACGACTTGTCCCCAGGGTGCAAACCAGCCAACTAAAACTGTTCTGATAATGCCCGTACCTTAACAAAAGCCAGTCTCATGTGTCTGTGCAATCATCAAATAGCAGGCTGCTGTACAGTGGGGCACCCTGAATGTGACCGAGGCGCGGGACAGGAATGGGCAGCAGGCAGCTGTCTTTGTTGGACACCAGCGTGCTGGTGCAGGCTCATCGTGCCTTCTGCCGCGCCCCCGTCTATGGAAGAGGCCAGAGCCCTCAGGTTCACTCAGTCCTCCAGGAAACAATGGTCAGTTTAGACCCCCAATTTTAAACCTCCGTTGTCTTGCATCACCCTATTTAGCACTTTGATATTCCTCCATATGACTTCTCTTTACTGTTCTGTATTGCCAAAGTGGTGTTTTGTTCTTGTTGTTTTGTGGGTTTTTGTTAAAAAAAATCATATCCCTTTATATTTTATATATTT